TATTCCGGTAAATGATTTGTTAGCATTTCAGGCGTTCGATGATTATCCTAAATCATTTGGTGATATCATTCTTAAATATTATGTTTTCAGGGATACTTTAGTATTTTGTCAGGTTGACCCGTTAAGAGTTGCTGATTTACAAAATTACGTTTATGAAAAGATAACTGATGAAAATTATGAAAAGATTATGAATCATGTTTATAAATATGATCGCAAATTCCAACAAATCGGACTTCCTGCCAAATTAATTACAAGCTTAGCCGCTACATCTGCTGACGCAACAGTTGATGACGTTATTATTTCATGCACAAAGATGGAAGTTTTAGAGGATAAATGCATTACACCAGGATACGGTTTAATTGAAGAATCAGTTAAAGCAATACCACGTTTATTCAGTAAGGAAGATCCATTCATGATTCCAGCTCAACATATTGACGTTCGTTCACTAAATGGAGGTTGCATCACTCCTGAAGGTATCAGCTCAGATTTCTCATACGCTCTTCATAATGTTACAGATGTTGTGTTACATTTCCGAAGAATGCAATGCAAAGAACAGTTTTAGAAAATCCAATGCTTCGAGGTCTTCAGGTCACTATAGATTCCAGAAACTTCCCCGATCAAGCGATGACCACAGTGGGTGACATATTCTTTACACGTATGCTTCAAGCTTCTGATTTAGATGGAGTGAATGAATGCACGGAAGAATACGAGGACTCATTAACTAGACCACTGAATGATGATAATGGCACGCCATTAGCTAGAACATGGAAAGACCAAACTTCATTCTTATGCACTATTCCAGTTCAACGTGATGGAGCGGGTATATTCTTTGATGGATTAGAAACTTTCAACTCACAAGTTACAGTACAAGTGAAAGCTTATCCAATCATTCAGGGTGAAAATGACACTTACTGTTCAAAGGTGACAAATCCTCCTCAGGTTTGGTTTACTAGGACTACATATTGGACATGGACACCGGATGAAGGTTTGAAATATCATCCAACAGGTACACCACCACAGTATAGAAGTTCATATGATGAAATATTGATGAATAGAAATGTTTAAAATTATAAATTTATTTTTGATTAAATGGATTTAAATTCATCCACCCCTTATGAAGAATTAGCAGGAGTATATAATACATACGTAGATGATATGATTAATGAAGCATTGAGTGATAATAGAAATGCTCTATCTAAGGAAAAATTAATGAAAATTCCATATTCTGAATGTTACTTAAATTCAATCACTGCAGCAATTGGTAAACAAAATAAAGGTAAAACATTAACGATATTAAAACAAATTATCATTATTGCTAACACTTCCCCCTATTCACATGTGTTAATTTATATCAACCGTTCAGGTTCACCTTCAGATGATACATTTGAATCTTTAAAGCATTTAATCAAAATTCCAATTATTTATTTATCACAAGAAGAAGCAGAAGATTATTTAAAAAACTTTTTAATGTATAAAGAATTATATAATACAATCAAGAAGCAAGGATTAGAGGATAAAATTATTGATAAACAACGGGATGAATTATTTGAAACACTTTCTATTTCAAATTTTGATAGAGAATTTTTGCATTCACTCATTTTTCTAGATGATGCGGTGAAATCAAAACTAATAACAAATGAGAAATCATATTTTAATCAGTTATTAACTCAATGTCGACACATTCAGTGTTCATTCTTTATGGCTGTTCAATATTTCAAAGCATTAAGCACAAACATTAAATCAAATCTATCAACACTTTTCATTTTCAGTGGGTTTAGTCGTCAACAGTTGAACGTTATGCTTTATCAAGTGAATTTACCAATGAGCATTAATGAACTTTACACACAATATCAGCAATTAGGTGAACATGGAAAAATAATAGTTGATTTAAATAAAGGAAGTGTTAAATTTGATTAACTTTTTATAATTAATTTTTATTTTTTATTTATAATTAAACATGACAGAAATGGCAAATCTTCTACAGGTTCCATTAAAACAAGGGACAAAAAAAGGGTGCATATAATAGAACTATGAAAGTTCCTGATGGAATGAAAGAATTAGTTCATATTGTTGCTGGTCTTCAAAAAGATGTTAAACAAATGAGAAACGTTTTAACATTACCAGAAGCTCAAGCATATGCCAAACGTCATGGTCCAAATTGGGAAGCACACGAAGCAGACATTACGGGTCCAAATGGAAAACCTGATGGTATAAATGAAGTTTTCGTTACTGATGGTCAAGGTAATATTAAAGTCATAAATGGTTATAAATTAACTATATCTGATTATCCTAAACGTAAAGCATATAATGAACATTATCCTATGCAATTTGATGAAAATGGAAAAGCTGTTAAACAATACATTGGAGAAGGTGAAAATGGTCCAATTAATTCATACCGTCATAATCCATATTCTTATTTCAATGAAGAATTAAATGCTATTGAAGAGGGACCGGATGGATTACCACGATATTCTAACCAGTTTGATGGTCAATATGCAAATATTAGACCTGAAATTTCAGCTAAGAAATTCTTTAAAGTTGCTTTATTCGATCCAGTTTTCGCAAATGTTAAAGATGAACTTAAACAGCAATTCCAACCAATTATAGTAGCAAGAATTGCATCAGGTGCTTTATCTCAAGCATTCAAAGATTTAATTAAGAAACCATTATATCAGCAACGAGGTTTAACTTATGATTTAGTTAAGGAATCAGATAAAAGAAAATTTGAGAAATCAGTGATTATAAGAATGCAATAATGAATATATTCGGTCTATTAATTTCGATGAAAATGCTAAAAATCAACTGCATGAACAAATACAGGGAATAATAGATTCAAAAGTTCCAGCAAAATAAAAGTTTAAATATATTTTTTTATTCGAATATAAATGAGAAGACGTTTCACTAGTCAAAAGAACACTAACGCAAAAGCAGAGATTACGGTTGGTTATAACGTAAATGATGATAAATCACGAATTATTCAAAATGTTAAAGTTAATGTTAGCCCCGAATTAACAAGGTCAGCAACTCAACCAAATTTATTAACTCGTGACTTACCGAAGAATGAGGAGAATGAAGAAAACCATGAGAATGGAGACCCAATCATTTTATCTGAACCCGGTAAAGAACCTGTTGAAATTCCCACTTATCCAACATACCCCCCACCTCTTTCATCAAACATCGAGAACCCATATAAAATAGACATTAATTCAGAATTAATGAAAATTTACCGTGATATAATAATTAATAATTATGATTCAATAATAAATTTAATTGATCAATCCAGTTTAATTATTTTACCTTATGAATCATTAATTCACATTATCGCCATTCTTTGTGATGTTCAAGATTCAGACGTTAAGATTCAATTTTTCATAGATGATGAGGTTTCATGCTGCGGAACAGTTGCAAAAATAAATCCTATAAAGGATATTAGCACAATTAAGATATCAAAGAACGGAACAACAACTGAACTTCATTTAACATATAATGATATTTATAATAAAATAGTTGATGAATATAAAATATCACTTGAAAAATTCTTTGTTAAGGCTATTTAATATTCAAGCATTAACATTATCGAATAATAATCCTTTGAATCATAATCAATAATAATTGACCTTTCACCAGTTTCTATCGTTTGTTTTATTTCTTTTTGTTCCCCACTATCCGGATCGGTCATTGTAATTGTTTTTGTTATAGTATCAGCTTTATCTTTAACTTCAATCTTTTTTCCATCGGGATATTTAAACCAAAATTCCAAAAATTCGATATTGTCAATCTGTTCATATTTTAATCTATCAATTACATTTTTAATACCATCTGAAAATCTTATGAAATGGTCATTATATGGGTTTGATTGAACTAAATTTGAATGAAGTGAAATATAACCTGTTGATGAATATGACATTGACTCATATTTTCTGAAAACACTAAAATTTATAACATGAATGAATTTCTTATTCGTTGAATTTATGAATTCTTGAGGTAATCTTATTCTAGTTTTATTTATCACTGGAAAATAACGCTTTACCATATTTTTAATCGTAATAAAAATGTCAATTATCAATATTATTTCGAATAATAGCTGTGAATTAAATTTAACAGTTAGCGGAATTTATAATGTTACTCTCGTTTCTGTGAGTGGTAAATTTAATCCCATTCTTTTAGACCCTTCAGATTATATATCATTTATTAAAAATGACCATGAAAAAACGTATGATATGTATATAAATAATGTGATAACGAAATGGGATATTAACATGATTTTAAGTTATTTAAATGAATCATTTATCGTATGGTATGAAGAAAATTTTAAATCAAAACCTGATAAACTTTTTGAACTTGATGAAATAAATAACCTTATTAAATTCCCGCTGAAAATTAAATTTTGTACTCCTCATCTTCGTTCATTGTTGGGAATATTAAATTTTGAAAAAGATGTTGGGGATGTTTTGTATTCTGACACTGGTTCCAATTTCATTTTAATCAAATGTGATAAAGTTAATACCCCAATGAGATTTTCACATCAAACATTAGACCCTAACTCTTACCCATCAATACAAAACATTTTATCCATCAACTTAAACACATTTTCTTTATCATATCCGTTTCAATTATCCGGGAATTCATTTATTCTTCATTCAAAAGATTTATCAAATATTAAATTTAGAATAACTGACCTATTTGATTGTGATTTAAAATTTATGAATGAAATATTATGGCAATTTCAAATAGAAAAAATAGCTGATGAGATAACGGATTAAATATTTATTTTTAAATCATAATAAATGATTAAACAACAGCAACCACAACAACTTAAGGCACAAAGCACCCAGGTCCTTCAGACCATTACATACGCCATATATGCATATAATTCAAAGATGGCAGAACAAACGCAAATGTTGAAATATGGAGATTTGGAGATAGTATTGAAAAATGACCATTTCGAATTCGTTTGCAAAGGTGGTGCAGTGATATCAAATATAAAAGAAATTTTATTTATGAATTCAAAAATTAAAGGAATAACGGATGATATAACATCAATTCCACCAGAAGAACAGAGATATTACGCATTAAATGCATTTCCTAAAGTTTTGAAGATTGGAAGATTTAATTTAAATGAGGAATTCATAGAAGGTTTCCTAAATGACATAATGAAGAGGGCGGATAAGGAATATGTGGATAGTGAGTTAATGAAGAAGGCAAATTTGGTTTATGTTGATGAAAAAGATAATGAAATTAAAAAAAGGGTTGAATGGTATCATGAATGGACATCAAAGATTTTAAAAACTAAAGCCGATACAGGATGGGTTTCAGGATGTTTAGACCTTAAAGCGGATAAAACATATGTTAACGATGAGTTAGAGAAGAAGGCAAATTTGGTTTATGTTGATGAAAAAGATAATGAAATTAAAGAAAGGGTTGAATGGTATCATGAATGGACATCAAAGATTTTAAAAACTAAAGCCGATACAGGATGGGTTTCAGGATGTTTAGACCTTAAAGCGGATAAAACATATGTTAACGATGAGTTAGAGAAGAAGGCGGATAAAACATATGTTAACGAAATATACCAAAGTTTGATAGGAACAAAAAATATTGAAACTATTGTTGGTGATTTTTCTGTCAATGAAGAAAATAAATATTTTAGATGGCAGTTTGTACACTCCTTAAAAAATGGTACACAGTGTAAACTCATTCCGAAAAATAACAATGAAATGTATGTAAGCTATAAAAAGAATGATGGTACACAAGTTAAAGTTCCATTAGACAACAACTGCTACTTAAACTTATATGGAGACGAACAAAAGAAATATTTTAGAGTTTATGAAATGGCAGATATGACATTGCCTGACCCAGCTCCAGCACCATATTATTATGACTATGGAGATGACGAGAGAACACCACATGTAGATGAACAAAAGCTAACATTATATTTAGATTATTATAGATATAAAAGATATAATGCAATAGAAAAAACGAGAATAGTATATTATTATACAGATGACAGAAATAAATATTATAGTCAAGACTTTACCTACCCTGAAAACATAAGATTATATTATAAAAAATATTCTAACACAAACCAGAAGAAACCTGAAATAGTTGCACTATATTTTAAGTTCAAAAGAGACAATCCTATAATATCTCATATGTTTGATTTAATGAACCCAGTAGGTTCTATTTATACATCTATGGATGCAAGAGGTCCTCAAGTAATGTTTGGTGTTGGTGCATGGGAACAAATAGTTGACAGGTTTTTGTATTGTGCAAACTCTTCAAAGGAAACGGGGGGAAGTAAAACGATTACAGGTGAAAATTTACCTGCACACAGTCACTACATAGATTTAAGTACATCTCAAGCAGGTTGGCATAAGCATAGATATTGGGATTGGTCAGGAATGACAAAAGGTAAAGGATATGATGTTAAAGACGACGTTAAGTTTGCTATAAATTGTTACTGGAGTGACACTCAAGGAGAAGGAAACCATACACATTTCGTTTCAGGATATACACAAACAACGGGACAAAGTAAAGAATACATGCCACCTTACATGACAGTTTACGCATGGTATAGAGTTCAATGAACGCTCAATGTTTGTGAAACAAACTTTAGAACGGACTGAAAGTCCTGAGCTCCAAAAGAGCGAACGGCATAATTTAAATTTTTATTTTTTTATTTTGTATGTAAGAACAGAAATGTCAGTCGAAGCAAAAACATTCACGAACAAATCTAATGGTGAAACATTCACAAAAGGCACTTATAATGGTATTGAAGTATTACGTAGAGACAAGGATGGTTACATTAATGCAACAAAGATGTGTCAGCAGTTTAGGAAAGACTTTAGAAAGTTGTTGGAAAATAAGTCCTGGGAAGAGTATTATAAGGCATTTTGTGAAGAATATAGCAACAGTCCGAATTCCGGCGGTTGCTTTTTATACAAAATTCATGCAGGAATTCCTGATGAAATCAAACAGGTTAGAGGAACGTATGTAGACCAAGACTTATAAACTATATAGCAATGTGGGCTTCTCCAAAATATTGCATAGCAGTTGGAAAAATTATGGACTCCATAGACAAGAAAGTTCATGAGAAATTAGATGAAGAAGAACTCGAAGATACAGTTGAGAATGCTAAACCTTTGTTCGAACAAGAAGTTAGAAAAATGCATGAAAAACAATTAGAACATGAACGTGAGATATGTTATGGTTATAGAGATTCTCCATACGAACTAGACCAATGGGAACAAGAAGATTTAAAGAGAGAATTTAGAGAATATGAACTCGCTAAGATAGCATTAGAAACTGCAGAAAAGAAGTTAAAAGTTTGGGGTTGTTTTGTACAAAAATATTGTGAGTAAATGAACCATTTATTTTTGTCATAAACGACCAAAAATATATTTTATCGTTAATGGTTTTTAGGTTATTCAATAATTAATTATTTTTGAAGAACTGAAGGTGTCACCATGTCACCATGTCACCAGGTTATTTAACTTCTCTGAAAAAATGAGACAACATGACATTTTGACAACACAGGAGGATGGCAGTTATGAATTATTTTTGAAGAACTGAAGGTGTCACCATGTCACCATGTCACCAGGTTATTTAACTTCTCTGAAAAAATGAGACAACATGACATTTTGACAACACAGGAGGATGGCAGTTATGAATTATTTTTGAAGAACTGAAGGTGTCACCATGTCACCATGTCACCAGGTATTTAACTTCTCTGAAAAAATGAGACAACATGACATTTTGACAACACAGGAGGATTAATGCAAAAATAAATTCCAATCATACTTTATAAAGCATCATTTACAGGTATTTCATCGTCAGTAAATGAATCCTCATTATCGTTTGGTTCAACCTGTTTATATAATCCTTTCATTTCTTCTTTCAAAACATAACACCATGTTTGTTTATCGTCTATTCTTCTCTGTTTCCTATCACATTTATCCTTAATGCTCATTTGGAAATTCTTGTCTTTCATGTCTGATGGTTTGCAGAATAGAGCATTTTTACATATCATACCTGCACACAATTCATCATAATGTGTATTTATCCATACATCTAAAGGATTTGTTGATAATTCAATTAAATCTTGTTTGGCTTCAGTCATCGGTATGATTCGTACATTAAATGATGAAAGGTCGTAATTGATAAAATATGTTAAAAGGTTATCATAAAATTCCTTTGTGCATGAATCCATTAAATTCTTGAAGTAATCAAATTGACCCTTAAATTTACCATTAACTCTTAAAACTACATATCTTCTGTCTCCAACTTCAATTTTGACAGGGTAGACGTTATTAGTTACGAAAATGAAATTGGCAACATTCTGAGCAGTTCTTCTGGGTTGATTCTTTTCATTAATTCTAATCTCATTATCCGTAATAATTGATTTCAAAGCGTTGAAGTTTGCGAGTCTGTCTTCACCAACATTCTTGAGTTCATTAAGTACAAGAAACATTTTATTCTCAACTACTGAATTGAAATTACCCGTTAGCTCACCTATTTCGGTAATGTTTTTGCATGAATAACCAGCGAGAAGTTCAGAAATAATGTCTGTGAATCTGTTTTTACCTGTTCCCTGAAGTCCTTTCAAAATAATTGCTGTTTCATTCTTGATTCCAGGATGTTGAATCATTGATGCAATCCAGCCGAGAAGGTATTTATACACTTCATCGTTATTATCGCATATGGCTTCTTTAATGAAATCCATAAACATCTCAATTTTTGAGTAATCTACTTTTTCGAGAACGTTGTATTTATAACCTTGAAACGTTGAGAAAACATCTGGGGAATCAGATTTAAAGCAAACACCCTTAACGGTTAATGAAGACAATTGATTTAGTAGTACGTCCCATGTTGTTATGGTTTTACCTTCTTCTTTAAATAATTTAATCATTTTGAGTGACTCTTTCATGTTTGATTGAAGAACGAATGATATTTGATTCATTTTGTCGTGTATGTTGTAATCTTTCTGAATGAAGTATTTATTTCCACAATCTACAAAACGGATGACACGTGATAAATCCTCAATTACTTCAGAACTGTTTTTATACCGATGATTTTCAGCCTTGCGTCTAATATCTGTTATCAAAAACGAGTCATCAAGTTTTATATCAAATGTTATTTTTGGCTTACGTAATAAAGGTAAAACATATTCATCATAATATTCCTTTTGATAAAGTTTTAGAATCTTCACTAAAACAAATGGAGAAGTCATTAAATGTGCATATCTACTACGTGCTTTCTCAAAATTACTTTTTGCATTTTCAGTTAAATTGCAGAAGTTATAAACGTTATCGTATGCTTCATTAATTAAATGATTAGGTAACGAATTAATTGCTTGAAACAGTGTGAATAATGTTATTTCTTTTTCTAAATTCATGTTTCCACCATCATTATGTACTTCAAAATCACTGATGCCATCAACTATGCTCTGGGCAAGTTTATCGTCAATGTTTACATCTTTGTTTTCATTCATGATAGTCTTTATTTCTTCGCTCTTTTGTTCAACTCTTACCTTAATATTCAAATCATTTAATATATCATTCACTGTTCTGGTTAATGTTGAATCGTAACTTCCGCGAATGAATGAGTATGTATTGATTGGTTCTGTTGCATTCTTGCGAACTCTTGAATCAGCCATAACCACTAATGAACGCTTTGAATCATCCATAGAAGTCATTATGTCAATATCATAATCATTGCAGGAATAACATTTAATCATTCTGTTCGAAACTGCATAGAAGAAATTAGTGTTGCAATAAATGTGAAGACCTCCTGAAGCGGTTTTAACGATAACATCTTTATCCGAAAGTTTTGATAAAATGTCTTTTCTAACTGTTTCTTTAAGTTCATCATTGTACGATTTATTGATATCAACATCTATAATCGTTAAATTTGAAATTTTATTTACTAATAAAGCCATACCAGTTTTCCTTCCTCTTCCTCCATCATGTTTGAGGTAGTTATGTAAATCAATCTTGTTTTCACCAATTCTTTCGTTGAGGGTTTTAGTTTCTGCCACAACTAATTCCTCAGCTAATGAATCAATAACTTGTTCATCAGAAATGATAAAGTTACTGTTGTTGTTTGTTGCCGTCATTTATATAGGAATAAAAAAATAAAAATAATTTTAAAACTAACTTTATTTTTGGACTGCATCATAACTGCCATCCTCCTGTGTTGTCAAAATGTCATGTTGTCTCATTTTTTCAGAGAAGTTAAATAACCTGGTGACATGGTGACATGGTGACACCTTCAGTTCTTCAAAAATAATTCATAACTGCCATCCTCCTGTGTTGTCAAAATGTCATGTTGTCTCATTTTTTCAGAGAAGTTAAATAACCTGGTGACATGGTGACATGGTGACACCTTCAGTTCTTCAAAAATAATTCATAACTGCCATCCTCCTGTGTTGTCAAAATGTCATGTTGTCTCATTTTTTCAGAGAAGTTAAATAACCTGGTGACATGGTGACATGGTGACACCTTCAGTTCTTCAAAAATAATTCATAACTGAATAACCTGAAAACCATTAACGATAAAATAACTGATAACAAAATTTTATTTTTATATAAATGGATACCCCACAAGCTCAAAATTTACCACGAATCATAACAAGGGAGGAAACGATAAAAATGATGCGAGAACTTGCTAAAAATAACAAACCACTAAAACTGAGAAAATGTGGTTATGCAGTAATGATGGAAAGAGAGATGTTGTCAAAGAAAAATAAAAATTAAATTTGGATTGAGTTTAAAAATTCATCTTTATTAAATTCATCTCTTCCAATCAATTTATTTATTCTATTAAATTCTTTTATTTTTGCTTCACTCAGTTTAATGATTGAACGATAAGTTTCTAATTTTTCGATTATTTCTTTCCTCTCTTCATCGTTTTCAACCCACCACATTGCGGCTTCTTTTTGTAATAGCATATTTTTGATTTAATTCTGTTTAGTTTCTTTTTATATTCATCGTCTGGACTCTTGGCTGCTTCGTTGTCACCATTTCTTACGAAATAAAAAAAATTAAATATTATTTAAATATAATGGAGTAATAAAATAAATCGGAATTTCTATTAATTTATTGTCAACTTCAACTAATGCATTGCCGTTAATATATCTAACAAATTCAGCTATTGTGTCAAATCTTCGTCTTCTTTTTGTCATTGATTTATTAGTTTTTCCATAATCGAGATGAATCAAAACTTTATCCCCTTGTTTAAAATTCATGAGCCCCGAATTAATTTGTTCACGTTTAACATCATTCAACCTTTCCATTTGCTTTCTAATATATTCCCATTCTTTTGAAATATCATTTTTCATTTCCACTTTTCATGTTTATAGTTCTATGCCATGTATTATTGTAATAATATACTAACTGTTGTATGATGGAGTCATGATTTCCATCCCAGTATATCTGACCGTTAACCTCTAACGCATCTCTAAGAGTTCTCATTACCGCATCAACTATTTTATTATGAAACGTATATGGAGAAGATGAGAAGTAAAAATTAATTTGTGGGAAATAATGAATCATAGTTGCCTGAAATCCTTTATCACTATCACCCCTTATATTATCTACTCTTTCATGATCTAGTAAGTATTGAATAGCTCTTCTTGTTTCCTGTTCTGTTTTCCCTTTCACTGGAATGCAATATAAATATCTAGTGTTAATGTTAATGGCAAATAAATAAGTAACGTTTCCTTTTGAATATTCCAGATGATCGATTTCGTATGAATATGGATATAGTGCAAATGAAGGGCGACTAAATTTTTCCTTTAACGGTTGAATTTTCGGGTCAGTTGGTTTATTTAATATCTTGAAACCCTTTTTAAAATCTTTTTGCTTCTTTAATGTTTGAAATAGATATAATAAAGTGAATGATGAAGGATTAACTGAAGGAGGAGGCGGTTTTGGTGTTGCAGGTACTGTCGTTGGAGGTTTTGGTGTTGCAGGTACTGTCGTTGGAGGTTTTGGTGTTGCAAGTGGTTTAATTTTATCTGCTTTGATTTTGGAATTCATTCCCCCCTTCATTAATTCTGGATGTATTCTATTCATTTGTTTTAAATATGCTGTATATAAAGGTTTGATATACTTTCCCGCTTCGAGTTTATGTTGAAGGATGAATTCCAAAAGTTGATCTTCATTTAAAAGTCGGGCTGAATATGGTTTAACTAATGAATCATAAATTAAAGCTTGTGCATCATTTATGGTCTGAAGGACTTGGGCGTTTTGTTCCTTTTGCTTTTGCGGCTCAGGATTATATAAATTATATAATTCATCAATATCTTCTTCTGTTAATACTTTATTTTTGAAATCTTTCAACCGTTTAAGTTGTGATTTAGTTTTTCCCTTTGAATATTCATTATTTTTAATTTTGTCTTTAATTTCAGAAATTATTTTATCATGATATTTCAAAAATTCATTATCATAATATGAATAATAATATTCCATATCATCATCCGTTATATTTTCATTATGTTTTTGGAGATATGATTTTAATTCATTATAACTAAGAAAATTTTGATTAAATACTAAATCACCAATTAAATTTTTTAATTCTGTGTCATTCATTTATATAAAAATAAAATAAATGTTTAAGGGTGCCCACCTCTTTGAATCATAGTATCAAAACCATCATTAACGGTTCCTTTTGTCTCTTCTGTGGCATTTCATTAAAAATAAAATTTTAAATTGTATTAAATAAATGGCATACAACATCCATTTTCACAACATACAGCCTTAGTGTGTGCTCCTGTTAATGCAGTCTTACCAATTGTTAAGCGAGTCATTGACCCGTTTTTAAGTTGTAAATTAATATTTTGACCATCAAATATCACTTTATCATTTATTATATCCAAATATTTTTTAGGTGTTAATTGCTTATTTTGTCTTAAACTAACACCCTTCATTTTTTGTGCAATCTTTTTAAAATCACTTCCATCAATTGAACCGTTGAATGATGTATAACACTTAGGGCATAAAGCAACCATGTTATCACCTTGTTTCTCAATTGCTAAACCCAATAACTTCTTCTCATGTGCTTTTTTCTTCAGCTTTATTCTTTAATTTAGGTTTAAATTTCTCATCAAAACAAAAGAAATCAAATGGTGCGAATTTGAAAATGTTTTTATCATAAAATTTTTTATCGGTAACAATTGCTTGAAATGCTTGAGTGTTAGGAAGATTTGGATCGCCAGCGATTGCCCAATAAGATGAATCAGTATCACCTTCAATGAAATGAAAACGATTAACATTCATGCATTTATACATAAAATCATAAATGAAAACCAAATACCAGTATTTAGCATTATCTAAAGTGAAGAATGCCTCTTGTAAACATGTATCACATCTATAAAATCTATCTTTAAGCATCACTTGATACGTATCTTCACCTACTTCTCTTATGTTTTTAAACTTATTTGACATACATGCAACGCGTGCCTTCTGTGCATTCATTATTTTAGTCTTTGCGTAATTTTGTGTATTCATTGCATCGTAACCATATGATCCATTAAGTGAAATTTTGCAAAATAAACTTTTTCCTTTATTTCCTTCTAATTCAGCCTTTTGTCTTTCGTTCATAAATTTGTTCGCAAATTCATTAAAACAAGTGTTTTTAGTAAATGTTAAAATTGATTGAATGTCATCGATGATAAAATTAAACCTGTCGATTAGATACCATAGATAATAAGAAGAAAATGGTTGATATTGGTTGTGTGTTGATGCTAATTGAGTTAATTTTCTCTGTTTCTGGTCAACTGGTAGATTGTTTGATTTCATGTAATTATACATAAAACTACCAATTGTTTTTTCATCTGTGATAATATCTAAGTTTCTTATTATCGGTAAAAAGTTTATGTAATCATTAATGTATTTTTCATCAATGTGACCCTTTACTTCAGCCACGAATAAAGTATTTTTCTTCTTAATTATTCCCAATGCTTTTGCTTTCTTTGTTGCTGTATCACAAATGATAACACCATTCAATCTTCCCGGCATATACATTTTATGGTCAGTATATTGAATGAAATCATGAGGATTAGATGAAAATGATGAAGGATATAATGAATTAAAGTCAACACCAACGAAATGAGTCATAATGTTGGTGGTGTCCTCATTTGATACAGTTTTAGTTTCTGGACTATATGAAAGTTTATTAATGTGCGTGATTCCTTTAAGATTAACACGATGTTGAACATTTGATAAACCACCAGTAATTCCATTACGGAGAATGTGATAAGCTTCAACTGAATCTAAAGTCATTGGTAAATTATTTTTTAATGCGTAATTTCTTAAATTGATTCTTAAACGTTGAACATCTTCATCTTTATTTGATTTTACGACATTGCAATAACAACACATTAACTGACAATTTTCTTTAGTATGTGGTTTTTCATTATCGATTCTATCCAATGTTGGTTTATTTGCATATGTAAACGCTTTACCACACATTTTGCATTTAGATGAAAGGATTAAATCGTGATAGTATTGAAAATCATCCATTGAAACATTATTTTTAGTATCCCTTTCTGCTTTTTCATCTTGTTTCTTATATGATTCAATTTTATATTTCCAATACTTTTTCGTTAATTCAAAACTTGATTCTATCTCTTCCTCGGGATATTTTTCATTAGGATTAAAGTCTTTATATGCTAAAGCGTAACGAATCATTGAAGCATTCGATGATAAAGAAAGATTATGAAGCATGTCAATTTTATAAACAAATGTTTCTTCAATAATTTTATCAATTGGGTCAATCATAATTTCAACATCTTTATTACAATAATGAATAAAATATTCTAATCTATTCTTAAAATTTTTAGCATCATTGAGATATATTTGATAATCACTATCTGATATAGTTTCTTGAGTTAATGCTGAATAAAATGAATCTTTCGTGAATGGTTCCTCTTTATATAATTCTTCTTCGTAATTTTCCCATGTGATAAATTGATAAGGGAAAAAGGATTTAACACGTGATTTATTGTTTCCGAAATCTTGAGTGAATTGGTCTAATGTCCCACCCGCTATATAATTTCTGATGTCAATAAATCTCAATTCATATGGAACGTTTGTTTTCTTTACAATGATTTGCTTAAATTGTGAAGATGAACCCAGCATTGATTTTATTTTCCATTTTGCAGTGTTTAAATCACGAAGAATTAAATTTAAATCAAACTTTCCCGAATTAAAACCTATGATATTCACTTTATTGAATTCCTCATCTAGAAGTTCTTTAAATGCTTCCTTCTGTTTTTCATTTAATGTATGAGACAAAGTCCCCGCCGTTTGGTCTGTTTGCGGCTTCAATAATTCTTCATATTGTTCAATATTTGATTTAGCAACTAATGAACAGGTTGAAAATAAAAACTCAATCCAATCAGAAATAAAAGAATCACTCGAAGTTAAGCAAAAATTCCTCGTATATGTTTTATCATTTAATTTAACCGTTGATGATACCATGAATGGTTTTAAGTAAGCGTTCAAAGTTGCACACTCAGAAAGTTGTAATTCTTCTTTAGTCTCTAATGTTTCGAAGTCAAAAGTAATATAATATCTTGTCGGTTTATAATATTTCTGCAAATTGTGAGCTAATAACCACTGATATATCTTCTGTTTCGTAATATGTGGTGCATATGGTTGCTGGGTCTTTTGCAATTGAACGTCTTGAATTAATCTTCCATTATTTTCTTTACATTTCTCACAATGCTTTAAAAATCTTCTTTGGTTTTTCCTTTCTGGATCATCACGGATAGAATAAACTTCTTCTTTACAATATGGACAAACTTTATAGCCGGTGAGTGCTTCAACGTCTGTTATTCTGTCAGCGTGAAGTTTTCCACATGGACTCTGTGTTAATAAAATATTTACTGTTTCAAATTCTGGATCTATCATTATTGATTCCACTAATGGAAAGTCTACCTTATTTATGTCCACGTCTTCTGGTTGAGGATCACAATAATAGAAATCAATATTAACATTTAACATTCTCGCTAATCTCTCACTTTCTGATGAAATGTCAAACCCTTCATATGCATCTATTGCTTCATTTAAATAGCTTCTACGAGTTTTAGGATTAACACCATCAGGAATGTTATAGAAGCGTTTAAATAACCTTCTACCTTCTGCTCTAATTTGATTATCATTCATTTTTGCTGTTCCGTTTTTGTTCATTTATGTAAGAATAAAAAAATAAAAAATAAAGTTTATTTTTTAAAGTCCATAAAATGAATTAAGAACACACAAATTTTTATCATCTGCAACGTGACGAATACATTTTAATTTACTCAAGAATGCGTACCCTGATACATTAAATCTAATTCCTGTCTTATTTAATTTCACAACTTTGAAAAGGAATGTATGAATAGCTATAAAATGATGAGAAGATGTTTTATGGGTTGCTTCCATTTTTTCTGAAATAAATGAATAAATATAATGTTTATAAGTTTTCATATCTTTTATGTTCTTAATAACGAATGGTATAGACCTTTCCACTTCATCTTCCTTCGGTGCTGTTCTTTCATATGAAACATTATTGGTATCTTCAATAATGAAACCACAATCACACAAAATTTTATATGTTCCAATGGTTTCTTTTGATATTTTATCTAATAAATCAAAAACTTTATCAACACCTGTGCATTTATTTAAATAATAATTTGTGTAAATATCATGATCTTCTTTCTTAATCGTATTAGTTGCATATGTCACGTTTTTAGTGCTTTTTTGAATTTTTCGGAATCGAGAGGGGGTGAAAGTAAGATACAAGGGTATTTTTCATTATCAATAAATTGTAACTTATGTTTACGTATAAATTTAGTACCTTCTTCTGAAAGTGTTTCATCTATTTCGCCATCTAATAAATTTTGTGTTGATTCTGAGACATAATTTTTATATCTTTCTTCATGAGATTTCTGAACTGCTGATTCTGAAGCTGGGATATTCATTAAACCCTCTACTTCATTTTCATTATATTTTTCAACTTCTCTTAATTCCTTAATTTTTTCATCTATTTCATCTCTTATTTTTTCCAGTCTTTCAATTTCATTGTATTCATCATCTTTAATCCGTTCTTCATAATATTCAGGGAAAACATCAGGTTCTTTAGGTTTTTCTTCTTCAGATGTGGGATATATGAAATTAAACATCATCTTTATTCATTTTTCCATCATAATCTAAATCATTTAATAACTCGGCAAATTTTTGACAATTTCTTAAATAATATTTACTAACTTCATAACACATCTCATCTAATATATCCTTTATTTCCTCGTTTGTGAATCCTAATTTTTTAACGTCGTTAGTCTTGACACTCATTTCATACGAATTAAAAAAATAAATTATTCAAAAATGTAAGACATTGAATTTTTAAAGTTTATTTTTTAATGTGTTTATTTCATTATGGTAGTGAATCTTTTACTCGTTTATGAGGTCTTTGATTATGACTCCATTGATTCCATTCAGGATTTAAACAATGTTTAATTAATCGCGGAATATCTGACATCATCTATATATAGCTTCTTTTATAAAAGATAAAAAATAAATTATTTTAAAATTAATGTTAATTTTTTAATGAAAATAATTATTTCTAATTTCTTTTACTCTCTCATACATACTAGATTTAAAGAATTCAGAACTTTTACCATAATCTCCTAAATGTTTTCTTATCTTATTGGTTTTCCATTCATTATATGAAACTGTATAAACTTTATCTTTATCTTTGCACCTTTCATCACTTCCAATATATTTATATCTCAGTTTTGATTTATTGGTTTCATATTCATTAACGTTTAATAATTCACAGTCTTCCTTTTTAAATAAATGTTTTATGTATTCAGGATTAACAATTCTATAATATTGCTTCCCTTTAAATCTTTGAATATAAACAGGAACACCATCCTCTAAAATTCGATAATCTATTTTATCTGGTTTTACTTGTTGGGTCATTTATGTAAGAATAAAAAAATAAATTATTTTAAAATTAATATGTTAAAATAATGATACAAAATCGCTCGATATTGTATGAATTCTTACGTTTACAAAAAAAGTCACACACCCCGCCTTATCCTACTACTAATAATGGTAAATATGAAAAGAAAGAGAATTCTATCAAACAATGATAAATATGGTAAGAAAGTGAATTTCATAAAACATTGATAAATATATATAAAAAAGAATGCCAAAAAACAAGAATAAATATGAAAAGAAAGAGAATTTCATAAAACAATGACAAATATGAAGAGAAAGAGAATTTCATAAAACAATGTTAAATATTAAGAGAAATAGAATTTTATAAAACAATGATAAATATAAAAAGAAAAATAATAATATAAAATAATGATAAATATAAAAAGAAAAATAATAATATAAAATAATGATAAATATGATAAGAAAGAGAATAAGTTTCATGTTAACATCAGCACCATGCTCAACTAAGAATTGGACAATTTCTATTGAATTAGCTTTGATGGCAATACTAAGAGGGCATTCATTAATATCAAGAGAATTTCATAAAACAATGATAAATATGAAAAGAAAGAGAATTTGATAAAATAATGAGATATATGATAAGAAAGAGAATTTCATAAAACAATGCAAAATATGGAAAGAAAGAGAATTTTATAAAACATTGATAAATATATATATATAAAAGAATATAATAAAACATTGATAAATATAAAAAGAAAGAGAATGCTATCAAACAATGATAAATATTGAAAGAAAGAGAATTTCATAAAACAATGATAAATATGAAGAGAAAGATAATGTAATAAAACAATGATAAATATGAAGAGAAAGAGAATTTTATCAAACAATGATAAATATTGAAAGATAGAAAATTAAATCAAACAATGATAAATATGAAAAGAATGAGAATGCCATAAAACAATGATAAATATAAAAAGAAAGAGAATCCAATAAAACTATAATGAATATGGAAAGAAAAAGAATTCTATAAAACATTGATAAATATGAAGAGAAAGATAATAATATAAAATAATGGTAAATATGAAAAGAAAGAGAATTCTATCAAACAATGATAAATATGGTAAGAAAGTGAATTTCATAAAACATTGATAAATATATATAAAAAAAGAATGCCAAAAAACAAGAATAAATATGAAAAGAAAGAGAATTCTATAAAACATTGATAAATATGAAGAGAAAGAGAATTTCATAAAACAATGATAAATATGAAGAGAAAGATAATAATATAAAATAATGGTAAATATGAAAAGAAAGAGAATTCTATCAAACAATGATAAATATGGTAAGAAAGTGAATTTCATAAAACATTGATAAATATATATAAAAAAAGAATGCCAAAAAACAAGAATAAATATGAAAAGAAAGAGAATTTCATAAAACAATGACAAATATGAAGAGAAAGAGAATTTCATAAAACAATGTTAAATATTAAGAGAAATAGAATTTTATAAAACAATGATAAATATAAAAAGAAAAATAATAATATAAAATAATGATAAATATGAAAAGAAAGAGAACTTGATAAAACAATGAGATATATGATAAGAAAGAGAATAAGTTTCATGTTAACATCAGCACCATGCTCAACTAAGAATTGGACAATTTCTATTGAATTAGCTTTGATGGCAATACTAAGAGGGCATTCATTAATATCAAGAGAATTTCATAAAATAATGATAAATATAAAAAGAAAAATAATAATATAAAACATTGATAAATATTGAAAGAAAGAGAATTTCATAAAACAATGAAAAATATGGAAAGAAAGAGAATTTTATTAAACATTGATAAATATATATATATAAAAGAATGTAATAAAACATTGATAAATATAAAAAGAAAGAGAATGCTATCAAACAATGATAAATATTGAAAGAAAGAGAATTTCATAAAACAATGATAAATATGAAGAGAAAGATAATGTAATAAAACAATGATAAATATGAAGAGAAAGAGAATTTTATCAAACAATGATAAATATTGAAAGATAGAAAATTAAATCAAACAATGATAAATATGAAAAGAATGAGAATGCCATAAAACAATGATAAATATAAAAAGAAAGAGAATCCAATAAAACTATAATGAATATGGAAAGAAAAAGAATTCTATAAAACATTGATAAATATGAAGAGAAAGATAATAATATAAAATAATGGTAAATATGAAAAGAAAGAGAATTCTATCAAACAATGATAAATATGGTAAGAAAGTGAATTTCATAAAACATTGATAAATATATATAAAAAAAGAATGCCAAAAAACAAGAATAAATATGAAAAGAAAGAGAATTCTATAAAACATTGATAAATATGAAGAGAAAGAGAATTTCATAAAACAATGACAAATATTAAGAGAAATAGAATTTTATAAAACAATGATAAATATAAAAAGAAAAATAATAATATAAAATAATGATAAATATAAAAAGAAAAATAATAATATAAAATAATGAGATATATGATAAGAAAGAGAATAAGTTTCATGTTAACATCAGCACCATGCTCAACTAAGAATTGGATAATTTCTATTGAATCAGCTTTGATGGCAATACTAAGAGGGCATTCATTAATATCAAGAGAATTTCATAAAATAATGATAAATATGAAAAGAAAGAGAATTTTATAAAACATTGATAAATAAAAAAAAAAAAAAAAGGTAGTGGGGCCTCCAGGCACTTCGTGCCCTCTAGCCCTGAAGATGTTTAGTATAACTTTGTCCGGACAAGTAAGGGTCTATCGTCGCTACAGGAAAAGTTACAGGCGTTCCAAGGAAGTATACTTTGAGAAGCCTTTTTCCCCTTATAGAATGAGATAAGACGGTTATTTTACAAAACTGACAACACTTTGACCGAGTAGTTTTTTGTGCTGAACAAAAAGTGTCATATAAACATCTGTCAAAAACCGCTTTTTAACTTCACTTAAAATGCCACGTAAGCTACGTAAGAATATACGTAAGAGGAAGAGAGCATTGAAACATCCAATAGTAAAACTGACACCACAACAACAGTTGCAACAACAAATGATGAATGACCCCACTATGTTGCAACAAATGTCAAGCAACCCTATGCTTTTAAACCGAGTTATTGGTGCACAGAGTGGAGGTTTAAGAGCGGCACTTTTAGCGAAAATGGCAGGCTATGGTGGAGCTGCAGACGGAACAGCTTATAACCCTCAAAGTCAAATGAATTTGAGTTCACTCAAAAATCAAATATCAGATGTCAAAAAGTCAAACATAGACATACAGAAACAAATAAGTGAAAACGAAAAGAAACTAGAATATGACAGACACACAAAGAAACTCAATGAGTTAAACGTAGAGAAAAGAAGAAAGAAGAACAACTGAAAGAACTAAGTACAGAGGAATATGCGAAAAAAGTGTCAGAAAAAGCAGCAGAAGTAGCAAAAATGGAACAAGATGTTATAAATTTGAAAAACCATACTACTCAATATAAAGTACTGAAAGATGAAGAGATAAAACAAAAAGCCCTGAAGACATATATGGATAGCGATGAGTATAAAAAAGAAGTTGAAGCAAATGTAAAGGCAGAAAAACTTTTACAGTTGCAAAACCAAACCGTACAGTATGAAAACTTAGCACAAGAAAGTAAAAATAACGACGCAGCCATGCAAAAGGCAATGAAAAGCGCAGAATATATAAAAGCTAATAATGACTGGTTAGATGCCCAAGCCAACGCTAAAGCAGCCCAACTTATAGGGTCAATAAGGACAAAAATACAAGCGGATGAAGACAGTTCAAATGAAGCTTTAATGAATGCTGACTTTAAGAACGCCTTCGAAGCTCTTCATAGTAAGGTGAAACTAGTGAACGACTTCTCATCTGGAAAGAAACTGAAGTCTGAAGGTTTCGACAAAGAGTTAAGAGAAGTAGCACAAAATATGACGAAAATAACAGATGCAGCAACGAGACAGGCAGTTCAAAGTGCCTATGACGCCGTTAGAGCAACTGTTGTGGAAAGTCAAGAAAAAGAGTTACAACAGACCAAAACAGACCTAGTAAATGCTTTCTTAAAAACGAAAAAGTCAGGTAGGACATTATGCTGCAGATGGAACATATGTGCCAGCTGGTGGAACTTATATACCAGCTGGTGGAACTTATATACTAGCTAGTGGAACTTATATACCACCAAACCCTCCAAGAGAAGCACCTGCACCAGGACTACCTAAAACATTTACATCGTCACATGGACACAGACACAGGCATGCACCAAAAACCAACACAACAACCAACACAACAACCAACAGTTCAAAACACTGCACCACAACCAACAGTTCAAAACACTGCACCACAACCAACAGTTCAAAACACTGCACCACAACCAACAGTTCAAAACACTGCACCACAACCAACAGTTCAAAACACTGCACAGCAACAACCACAAACAGAGCAAGGACATAAAAGAAGTAGAGAACAAGGAAACCAAGAATTCTTAAAAATGCTTAAGGAAAATTATGGTTACCCAGATACTCTTGACTTTAGTGACAGATATAAAGAAGCTATTAGAAAGTTCAAGGAAGGAAATACTGACCCGAACCTATTTAGCTTTATGGTTCAGCACCAAATGGGATATAATTTCAAACCTGGAAAATACAAGCTCGCTAAGGGATATGATTTAATAGCATATCATCCAAATGACATGACTGAATTTACTCCGAGATATTTGGTGTCAGAGATAAATGATAATTCAACTATCTTCATGAAACGCGTAAAAAATAGAGACGGAACGAAAGAAGAAAGGGTTATGAATGCGGATGACTTAAATAGGGAACTTTTTAAAAACGGTCTCGGAATATATGAAATGCCAGCAGATGAGGTACAAGAAACTCCACAGGAAGAAGTTCAGATACAACCAGACATGGAAGAAATAGTTCAGCAACAACAGCTAGAAGAGCCTGAAGGAAACAAACAAGTCCCTCCTTTGGAAACTAACTTCACAGAACTAGATGAAGATTTGGAACAGCCGAAAAATCTTGACCCTCAACAAGAGTATGCGGAGAATATGGAATCTTTCCAAGAGTCTAAGAAAAATTCGGCTGACATAGTAGAAGAATATCGAAAAATGTTCGCCGACATACAAAAGACTCCAACATCAGATGAAAATATTCAGCATAGAATGGAAGAACTGAAAGAAAGTGTATGCAAATACAACAATCCTTTTTACTTACGACCATATAACGTTCAATCTTTGGCTGAACTCGGTGAAAATAAAAGGTTAAATTTCAACAAAACATATAGAAATGAAACATTGTTTAAAGTTCATTCAGAACCTAACCAATATGGAAACAAACCTACTTTTGTTTCTGCAGACTATGGAACTACAATGAGATGGGGTCATAAAGCTAATCCGGATAGGTGGTTCATAAACTTACAACCTCAATTCCAAGAAGTTGTAGACGCAATGGAAGTGAATGGTGAACCAGATATAGCTGGTATTTTCAGCGCGGCTTTAATGCCATTGAAAGATATGAAAGATGCAGATATTTTGAACCAGTATGAAATGAACATGGCTGATGGAAATATAACACCTGACGTTCTAGAACATTTATCTCAAAGAACTACACAGAACCATAGAGATGGTATATTTGGTGAAGAGTTTAGAAAGAAAGTTAGGGAGAGAGAAGGAAGAGAACCTATTGTACATGACCTTGCAAACGAAAGTTTGCAAAATGTCATAAAAACTTACTTTGCAGACAATGAACCGAGAATGGATGAATATTTAAGAAAACTCAAATGGACAGTACCAAATGAAATGTTAGTATTGAAAAACATGTTCCTTGACAAAATAAAACCAACTACAGAAATAAATGACGCAAGACTGAAACATTGGGTAAAAGCTTTCCCATTCACAAAAGATATTATTGGTAACATGGAAAGAAAACCAGAATGGCTACAAAAACATATATTTGGAAACGAGCTTATTCCATATGGACAAGCTCTGTTTGAAGAGCTTGAACCGGAAACTCAGGAAAGAGTCATGCAAACAATACGCGAAGACTCAAATACAAACTATGACAAAATCTTTCTAGGATATAGGTTACCTGAGATGGGCGACCAGAGCCCAAAGGCAAAAAGGACATGGGAAATTTACAACATACTAGGTGAACATGAGGCAAAGATGCAACAACTTGAAGCAGAGGGCAAGTTACCAAAAGCGACACTAAAGAAGAAGAGTAGAACAAAGTGAAAATAGTGAAGAAGTAACTTCATCTAGTGAAAGTAGTGGCAATGAAGGAAAAAGAAGAGTTAAAAACTCAGTCAGGAAGAAAGTAAAGCTTGGTCCGAGTGGGTTCTATTATGACACATAAATCCAACTATTCTATATTTTTACCCATATGAAATGTACGCCGCTCAGAATATAACGCCAACAGTTTTGGATGCCATGAACGGAAATGTTTCCGAATGGTATAACGAATGCGACAATGCCATTAGAAGGTCAGAAATAGTTCCTGGAACTTACGAATATACAACTGCTGTTTCTTATGGAAACGTAGGTGAGTTTGGAGAAGGTTCTTCAACAACAGTAGATATTGCTTGCGACAGGTTTCATATTATTTCTATTGACAACTCATTCTTATACGTGGAACAAGACATTGAAATAAAACCTTCTGCCAAGTTGTCTGACAAGAAAGGTTGCAATGGAATTTTCTATGTCGGATACCAATATGCTCCAGAAGTTTTCATGGGATATAAGATATATTCTAACTCTGACTTAGTTCAAACAGTAACATGGGCAAACTATGAATGGTTCGCTTTGAGAAACTCAGTACAACCACAAGCTAGAGAACAAACAGACCAGTATGCAAATATTGAGAAAATAAGAAGACTTGACCCTAACGTTCCAGGAGTTTATGTTAACCTTTCTGGTTCAGATGGAACTGCTGCCACTAAAGTAAAACTGAAACTTAGAGTTCCTTTGTCATCTTTCCTCATCTTCAGGTTTTTAAGATACTTGCCAAACTGGGCAGGAAAAATTTCTATCGAACTTACTCCAAGCAAAAATAACTTAGTCATTGCACCAACACAAGACCCATTCACTATTACAGACGTAAAGGGAACAAATCAAACGTCATTCGCCGAATTTTGCAAAGACAAAGTTGACTTAGACTTTGGTTTCTCAAACTTCAACAATGAAGTAAACTATTATTTCAATGCTGCTGGAACTGCTTGGGACCCAGTTAAGTTTACATGCGAAAAATTTGAATGCAAGAGAATAGAAAGCAGACTTGCAGTCTATATGTTGGACCCAGATATTTCAAATGCTTTAGCTGCCAAATATATTGCAGTTCCACTTATGTTCCCTATACACCAAATATCTGTCAAAGACTTTGCAGGTGAAGTTGGAAACCAAAATCCAGGAGCCGCAGGTGCAAGAACAGATATTGCTTTAACAACTGCAATGAAACATGCAGATACTATGTTTGTACTGTTCAGACGAACTATAAATGACTATTCTTGTTTCTACAACCCCGGTATTAAATATCATATAAACATAGATGGCAAATATTATCCAAGAGAAGAATATTCTACAGTTGAGGATATGAGGTCATACAACTTGACATTAGATGCTATGAACTTTAACAACAACTTCACAACAACCATTAACCCTGAAATGCAAAGTTCTATTATGCCATATGTGAAAGTATGGACTCATACAGGAGGTCAAAAAACTCAATATACAAATGGAGACCGTTCAAACTTTTGGCTTGGCATTCCATTTGCTGACTCAGAAGACTTTATGGGTGGTATTTCAACTGTTGGTACAGTTCAAATACAATATACTGGTGACAGAGACGGTCCAGATGAATTGAAAGCAAAGAAGTTTACAAAACCAATAGCACTTTTCACGGAAGATGCTCTTTTGAAGATTCGTTCGATGAAACCTGTTGGGGCTCCTCAGATTGGCATAACGACAGCTTCCATCGAGCAGATTTTGGCAGCAGGTCAGTAAGTTGTTCTTGAACTGACTTCTCTCCGTCAAATATTGACAGTACGCCAGTTTTGACATAATATTGTATTATAAACTTTTCTTTAGTAATATCGGTCAGTTTTGAAGTTATATTTTTGTCTGCTTCAAGAACTTTCACCATTTCAGTTATACCAACTTTCTTTGCTTTATGAAAATATTTTGGTTCAGCAAAGACTGCTATTCTATAACATTTACCATTGTTTGTATAAAGAACTATTCTGTCAATGTATTTGTATTGTTTGTGTGTGTAAACTTTGTTCTGCTTCAATTCGAAGAGATACTCGAATACGTCCATCTTTTTATTCTAAGTAAAATGTCATTTCCGAAAAATAGAAGCGTAAGTGTTTCAAAAGGTTTAATGGCGGTGGCAGATGTGAAGTTAAATTCACCAACTCAAACAAACAGTCAAAGTGTTGTTGTCAATGTCAAAGAAAGAGATGTTGAAGTGGGGAAACCATACGAGGACGAAGATGGTATAACAATTGTTCCTGTAAAAGAACAACCAACATATCCTGAAGTTAGCAGAGACTTAAGTTCTGTTGCAGATATTCGAAACGACTACCAACAACTTAAAGACAAACTTCAAACTCAGGAGAAGATTTGTCAAGCTTTAAGTATAATGTTAAACTTGGTCGAACACAACCCTGTAAAAGTGAACTCATATGTCATTGCACCTCATGAAGTTTTGAAAGAACTATTGAAACTTTTGACAGAGGCAGACGATATAAACATCAAAGAAATAGAACCCGACATTAGTTGCTGTGGTGTTTCATATAATGTCATTGACAAGATATACGTTATGAAAGGAGGTGAAACGTTGAACTTAAAGTATAGTTTCCCAGACGTCATAAAAATATTTGACGACCACAACATTTCATTAAAATTTATTTGCTAAGTAAAAATGTCAAAACTTCTTGAAAGATGTTTGAAGAAAAATAATATAGACTTTATTTCATGTAAAGGACTTTACACACTTTTGAACGATATGAAAGACCCTGTTTTGTTTGTTCGTGTAGACAAAGGAAAGTTCTATGTCTTTACAAAATATTTGAACTTCTTAGACAGAGAACTTCAAGAAACGCCATGTGAAAGTTTAGATGAAGTTCTTCTCCACTTTCAGAAAAACTTTTAAATATATATAAATGGCAGAAGATATAATGGTTTATACTATTACGACTAAAAACCCTGAGTCATATAATTCTATAACAACAAACTTACAAAGTCCTCAAGGACGATATTGTAAACTAACCTTAAACACAATGACGACTAAAGCCTGTTTTGCTCTTTTGACACCAGAAGACTTTATTGTTGTGAATGGTAAAAAATACTCCTTTGAAGATACTTACTCAGATATACCACCAACAGGTTTTGTTGACTTATTTAATACTTTAAGTACAGGTGTAACATGTGCTGCAACTAGAGCAGGTTTCATTATGTTTGGATGTCCGACTGAGTTTACTATAAACGATATGAGCTATAATACAAAACTTATTTCTGGTTTTTACTACCAACAGTTTCCTATAACAGGAAAAGGTGTCATACAAGGAATGTCTATTCCATTGACATTAAGCACACCAATCTTATATATTGTTTCAAACTTAGGTTCAAAGTGTTATTCGAATGTCGACAGAAACTATTATGACCAAAAGATACTTATGCGTATAAACAATACTTTCTCTGCTGGTTTGCCTATTGTTCATTCGAATGCAGAATTTTCAACCTTAGTGAACTCAAACACTTTGGCAAGTATAACGTTGACATTAGTTGACGCAAACTTTGTTCCTGTAAAACTTTTATGTCCTATGTATTTGTCAATGACGGCAGAAAGTTTCGAATTGGAAGATGCAACTGGTGAAAGTATTGTATTACAAGAACAACTTCAACAACAAATAGCTCAAGAACAACAAATGCAACAAATGCAACAACAAAGTCAAGAATAAAAAAAAAATATTTTTTTTTATTTTTATAAAAATGTACAGAATAGATGTTTCAGATTTTTATGACTTCCAAGCATTCAGAAATATGTGTCCATTTAGAGACTATAACAAAGCAGTCGAGAATTTGAAACGTTTAGTCATTTATGTTGACTCTGCCCCAGAATGTTATGTCATGAAAGAATGGGATGTTGTCTTTAACAAACCAAGAGCAACAATAGTTTCAGAACAAGAATGTAGACAGAAACTTAAGAAAATAAAAGTTGTACAAGTTGGCATGAAGATGTTAGATGCTTGGGATATCTTATTGTCAAAGTTAGAAGATTTTTCAGTTCGAGGTATAAAGTTCTATACACCTTCTCCAAACTTCTATTCTATCTTCACTGGATATAAATACGAACAAGTAGAATGGAAAGAAAATATTATAGAAGCTTGGTTAGACCATGTCAAAGAAATTATATGCAATGGAAACGAAAGAGTCTATGAGTATATCTTATGTTGGTTTGCAAACATCTTACAACATCCAAGTGCTAAAAATGAAACTGCTCTCATTATAATTGGAAAACAAGGAACTGGTAAGAACACATTCTTTACAGATATTTTGTGCAAACTGTTAGAAGGTTATTCGAACCCGAATATGACAAACTTAGAAAACATCTGTGGCAAGTTTAACTCCTCAATAGAGAATATGAAACTTATAGTTTGCAATGAACTTCAAAGTATAGATACAACAAAAGTTTTGAACTCAGATGCTTTGAAGAGTCTTATAACAGACAAAGTTGGAGTTGTTGAAAGAAAATATAAAGACCAAAGAGTTTGTGAAAATGTTGCAAACTTCATTATGGTTTCAAACAATGCTGTTCCGATGAAATTAGAAAGTTCTGACAGAAGATATGTAGTTGTCAGAACGTCAGATTCTCATATGCAAGATACAGAATATTTTGACGACTTAGCAGAAACTTTGACATCTGACTTTTACAACCACTTGTTCTCATATTTTATGACATTAGATATTTCAAAGTTCAATCCAAGACAAATTCCACATACCGAAGAGAGACAAACATTGTTAGAAGCAAACAAGAGTGTATATGAACTGTTCATAGATGAAACTGACTTTGTGTCATTAGATGAAAGGTCATTGTACGATTCGTATAAACAATATTGTCAAGAATATGGTTATATGACAGCGTCTAAACGAACATTCTTGGCAAATGTCAAAAGTCTTTTAGACGTACAGAATGGTGTATATACAAAGAAAAATTTTTATGAGTAAATTTAAAAAAAAATATTTTTTTATCCGATAGAAAAGATGACGAAATTCATCTCAGTAAACAAGTACATGTCAGGACTTAAAGAAGAACTAGACCCATTCACATATTTGAATGTTTACTTCTACCATTTTGAAAAGTCTTCATTCAGCAAAGTTTGGAACATCGAACCAGTTAAGTTTGCTATTGTGACTAAAAATGGTGCGAAATTTGAAGACTTAGACATAGAAGGTTTGTTAGCAGTCAAAGAAAGTTTTGACAGAAGGTTTTCAAACCTTAAAGAAGGCAAAGCATACAAACTTGTTATACCTTATGAACCAAAGAAAGCAGACGACTATGAATATTATGAGTCTAAGATAGTTGAAGTTCAAGGTAAATTGGGTAAAAAGATTTTAGAGTCTAAGCCAGTGTTTGCTCCTAAAGAGGAAGAGAACATTGACATTGACCCAGAAATGTTCTAAAAATAAAATTTTATTTTTACATGTCAAATTTCTTTTTCTCTGGAACTGGTTCAGGTTCTTTCTTCTCTTCTTCTACTTTCTTTTCTTTCTTTTCTCTCTTCTTCTTTTCTGGTGGAGTTATGTCAAATTTGGCGCAACCATATTTATGTAAAAGTTCTTTGTCCTTTAATAGCTCTTCTATTCTGTTTTCTATTTCATCTTCAAGAACAGCGCATGTGTCTTCTTTGCATTCTAAGAACTTTTGTTGGACTTCATCTTTCCAATCGGCGTCATCTCTGTCAACAAGTCTGTCATTGACAAATTTTAAGACTGCTCTGCTTAATGTTTTATGGTTCTTGTCATATTCCCAGAAACAGAACTTTAGAACAAATTCACCTTTCTTGTTTACACTATGTAAGATTTTATGGTCGACAGATGTTTTGCTGTCAAAAAGTTTGTCTCGAATATAGATAGCGAAATCGCTAGACATTTTCTAAAAGATAAAAATTTTAATTTTTCTAAAAATATGTTAGAAAAAAAGTTTGCTGAAAGAAAATTGGAGAAAATGTTTTAAACAAGAACAGAGAAGTTAGAAAATGCTCAGATAAAGCCTATACATGACAAGTTCTTATTTGCTCAGAATG